GTCGGGCCTTCGGCTCGCCCCCTCTAATAATTTACCAATATTGACACCCCTACTGTTAATATCTACTAAATCAAGCAAGTCGTACATTTATAATATTTTTTCTGTCCAATTTAATCGAAATAGTCAAGGTATTTGAAAAAAATCGCAGAGAAACTCGGCAAACTTAGAGTAAAACCAATGTTTCGGCCCAGCCAAACCCCCCGCTTACCCTGAGCCCACGGTCGACCAATACAGTGTATTCTTAGACACACTTTCGCTGGTCATGTGACGCAACTGTTTCCTTGCAAGTTAGGCGGGGGAAAGCAGGCTCTCACCTACAGGCTGACGGTGAGATATCTTATTAGTCATCAAATCTTATTGAAAAGATCGTATGGCACCGAAAGTCGGTAACGGCCAACTCTGGCTTGCTGGGTCGCGCACGCGTGACACGCAGCACGTGCGACATAACAGTTCATGCAACATGATTGTCTGTTCGATTCCATATCAATCCATGCCGCTCCCCAGTGGCACCTGGCGGAGCGGCACGCATTGGTTGCTGGTGTGGTGCTGACCTAGGTGCTGCAATGCTTCACAAAAATTTAAGGCCTGGCAACAAAATTTCAATCGTTCCGGAGCGTTTGGATGTGACACGTAACCCGTGCTTACGTACTCGTGAAAACACACGACAGGCCATTTCATTCCTTATCACGGCATATCTGTCCCGTGAAACCACATGCTCTGAGTGCGGAAATGTGGCGTAAAACGCAAAAACCGACGAAATCGGCAAAGTGGATCTTCACAGTTAGTGCGCACGTGGAACGTGACGCGTGGGACACCACATCTTACATCAAGTGACTGCCCCTTAGATTGCCTATCGAAGCGTGGCGCTCTCGAGTCACTTCGTGCCCTGAGTGCCACAATATCGCAGGGAATTGTGAACATGTCGAAAATAGCCAGATCCATATTTCGACACGTGAACGCCATGACACGTAGCACATGTAACCAATCATTGCCGTCGAGGATCGAAGCGTACCACTCCGAAGTGTGTCCGTTTCCTGGGTGCCGAGATTTGGCACAAAATGGTAAGCCTGGGACGAGAGCAAATTCCATCTTTGAACGCGTGCCACGTGATACGTGCGATCGCCGCATTTCGCACGGCTCATCTCTTCGTGCCACTCCCGGGTTGCCCCGATCTGCCGTTGTCGAGATATCGGTGCAGGGTGGCATTATCGGTCGGAGGCAGTTAATTACGACGGCCAATCACATGATCCGACGGCCGTTTGACCTTAAAGCAACCGCCGACGTCGGCCGGGACACCGGACAGCGCCCCTTCCGTCGCGGCATAGAGTCGCCATGCAACCCATTAATCTAGACCTATTCGGAGCAGACCATTGTGAAAATATGGTCAACAAATGGGTGGCACAAGAAAAGAACGCGTCGGCCAAACACACTCATGTAGTTTTCAACGCTAAATCGTGAATAGTTTGACGGTAGGGGCTTGTATTCGACGCCGATTTTCAAAACTTGGCCGCTTGCAACTTGTATTGCAATTTGCAGCGCGACCGTATGACGCAAGAAACTCGGAATGCACAACTGGAGGTGTAGCCGTTTAAATTGTAAATGTTGCGAAACCAAAATTCACGCCCATACCACCGCTGCGTACACAATATAGGCCCAAAACGTAAAAAACCCGTCAAAACGGCCAATTGTATGTTTTTCAAACATGTGTGCACGTGCTGCGAACCATGTGACACCTTAAACTTATACCAGTCCAGTGGCGCATGGCATTGTCTTCTGGGTGTGCCAGTTTCATGTCGCTGCGACCCTCGGCTATCCAGATGTGGCTCCAGGAAAACGATAGCAGTGTGTCGGGACCGTCGGCCAGTGCGTCCGCGAAGTTAGCGTCGCCCGTGTTAGATCTGTGGGGATTTTTGCGCCCTCTTTCGCAAACCACGCGCTCATTCTTGCAAAACGCGGAATTTTGATATGACTCGGACGCACTTTGCCAGCAGGCCTTGCTCGTGTGAAAAATCCCATTAAAAAATTATTACCCGATTAGCTTGCAGGTAATCCCAACGAAGTAGTGGACAACCACACACACACACACACACACACACACACCACACACAACACACACACACACACACACACACCACACACACACACACAACTATATAGATATATCTATAGATAGATATATATATATAGTATATATATATACACATATACTACACACCACATTGCTCCATTACTATAATAACAGATATTCTTAGGATTGTCGTCACCACGACCTTCTAAAGGTAAAAAGGTCACTGTTATTAAGTTAAAATCAGCGACCTTTTGCTCAGAACAGGTATCTAGGTTCAAGGCGGTTGCACGAGGCCTGGGGGGTACTTTGAACATCGACCTGCAATTTGATCTTGTGTGACCTTATTTGACTCCGAGGTCATGACCTCGGAACTTCAAATTTTGACATGAGCGAGTTCCCATACAGACTTCTCTAGCTATCTTAAAGGGAATGTTTCACATTCGAAGATACTGAAGTAAGCATCAGATATGATGAAAGAACTCACGTAACCATTGGCATCCCTTTCAAGTGGAAAAGACTGCTCTAGACAGCGTAATTCTCTGTTTAGTAAATACGCTCCTCGCTGCGTCATGACATGATTGCGTCGTTATATCTTGCACATTGATTGAGAGCCAGTTGACGGCCGTTGTACCTGGAAATTGCGCGTACGAACGCCCGATGTGAACACCTCGACAGTTATGCTTTTGTTGGCCTTGATAGCCGCATGGCATACGGGATGGCAGGCTTTGAATGACATTATTACAACGCCATGAATACCAAGGTGACTGAAATACCATTCCCGATAAACCTTCCCCAATTTTAGCGGACGCGTAGCTCAGAAAGCTAGACGGCTTAAGAGGGCAGGATTGTGAACAGCACCGAAAGGCTTTCAACGTGACTATTCCAGTTTAAAACCTCATTAAACATAGAACATTTCGTTTCATTTTTGATATCTCAGTGATCAAATGACCCCCCATCCGATCCGAGGTAAACGATTTTCAAACCGACCACCCGGGCGCGTACATTCAAGTGGATTGTCTCTATCCATCACGGACCTCACGATACGAGCATGAGTACTACTGCCCCATCTTCAGGCAAATTCATCGCTACCCTTTAAATTGCGTGTGAGGAGAAACAGGCTGACAACGGCAATATGCCCCCCTGTCCCATCGCCTGCGAAGATCTGCGGTCACTGACCACAACACACACATCATTAACTGACATTTATTCGATGGAAACAGAAAAATCAACAAATATTTGATCGAACAGTTGTACTCAAGCTTCGCAAATAGGAGCAACACCAGCAAAACTAGCATGCAAGCAGCCATTTGAACTGGACTGAGTACTTGCTTTGTACAACACACAACCAAATCCAACATGTAGTGATACTTAACTGTCCCACGGGAAATAGCTGCCGGCACACAACGGAATTTTCAATTACAAACATAAAAAACCTTCCGGTTTAGTACATTGCAAAGGTATAACCCGCACCACACCGCAGGTTCCCCACCGAGGTTTTCATTAACCTGCATCACAGGCTTTGCACCCAGAACTCTATTAACATTCAGTCTGTAACAATTATGCTGCGGGGCTATGCAAATGAATTATGCTATAGTATCAAACATGCCTGGAAAATAGACCCAAACACATGACTTGATAAACAACATGGTGGATGCGACAGTGCCATCAATATCAAATGCATGCAAGCATAGTGCTAATCAAACATACCTGCAAAATCATTTTTTTCGCGCTAAGCCGTCACTACTGGATGGGCGACACCCTTCCAGGCCCACTCTGCGCCCCCCGCTCGCACCTCCCATCTCGCTCGCCATCGACCGCCACGCGCAACATACCGCGTCGCACGCCAGCAGTGCCGCGCTGCGGCCGCCACCGGAACCTCGCCGGGCCGACAGCGCCCCTGGCGGCGGCTACTGACACTGCGCCAGGTACTGGGCCAGCGCGTCGCGGTTTCGCGCTGCAGCCAGGCAGCGTTGAGGCGGATGGTCTCCAGCGCCTGCTGGATGCTGCGCTCGGCGCCCGGGTGCGGGTGCTGGATAAGAACTGCTCCACCTCCTCGGCGCGCTCCAGCGTGCAAAAGTCGTCCGTCAGCGACTTGACCAGCTGAGCCCAGCAGGCGGTCCCTGTAGGGAATGTGCCGGGTCAGTGCTGCAGGACCGCACGACACGGCCGGCAGTGACGACCAACACGGGATTGCCGCTCCCCGCGCACGAGGCCGCCGCGTGGGACCCGCGGGATCACACTGGACCACGCGTCGTTATGCACAGCTGATCGCCAAACATGCTAAATCGTGATTGTTGCCTTTTAAAATGCTGTGCGTATGCGTGGTGAAACATCGTGGTATGCAGGAGCGGAGGCAAAGGAGGGGCGGGGGGGGGGCATTGAAGGGCCGTGCCCCACCCCTTGGTTCCAAGGGGCCTTTTCGGGCCCCTCGGAAGCTACGATTAAGTACCCCGAAAGGCCGGCCGGAGGTCGTATTCAGGGACCCCCGCCCACAGGGACGGACATTCCGATGCCAGTCACAGGGCCACCGCACGCTGCTGCGGGCCCTAAGTCGACAAGAGAATATATGTCGGTCCAGCACCGCCAGTAACGCACCATCGGCTCTGTGGCGGCATGGGGTCCCATGGGCGCCCATTTTCCAAGCAGGAACAGAGTCGAAACCAGCGATTTATGTCGGTCGGGGCCCATAGCGCCTAACGTGGGACCTGCGCTGGCAAGGTGCCCTAAGTCGGCCAGACGCAGTGTTCGAGGAGGCCCGAACAAGGGCCTGGGCGGCCCAACGGAACCGAATATCAAAAGCCTGGTTGAGGGGCATAGGGGTCTGAAGGACTGGCTGTGGTCACATAAATAATCGCGGTCCTGACGTCTGGATCTCGCCAGGCCTAAAGGCCCAGCATCCAGCGGACGTGTGGTGGCGCAGGCGGGCGCGTACCTTGTACCGGTCGCAGAGGATCTGCCAGTTCTGCTTGTAGAAGTCCCAGGTGAGGTCGCGTCCTATCCGGTTCGAGGAGACCGAGATCATGACGAACACCGACTCCTGGGCTCGCACCTCGTCCTGCCGACATGCACCGTCTTCAAACACTGGGCTCGCGGCGGCGTGCGTGTCATCCGCCATACGCTTCTCTCAGCAACAGATGGCAGCACAGTCGATTCACGCGGAGCGTTGGCGCCCCATGTCACCAGCTACGTGTTTGAACAGCTCTACTCGACACTTAACGTACAGACGGGTCAAGCCTATGAGCAAGTCAGCGGCTCCAGGTGGGGCAAGAAAACCCAACCGTTCGAAGGTAGGTCGAACGTGACTCGCTCACAAACATTCGAAGTACTTCACTCAAGCACGCTCGAAGGTAATTCGTTTACAACACTGGAAGATGATTCGCTTACAAACGCTCGAAGTTCACACGACGCCAATCCACCAGGGTGGCGACACCCACCGAAAGTGCGAACTCGAGCACGCTGGAGAGCAGCGAGACGTCCGGGATTGAGCCGAGCGCGTGCGCGATCCGGTTCTTCTCCTCGTGCATCTCAGCCTCCCGGTACAGCTGGGGAGCGGCCCGCGGCAGCGTCAGCCTACGCATGCGCCACCCGCTGGCGCACCACGGCCCAGGCACCGCGTGCTGCTGATCATTGGCGTTGCACGCTCCCGTGTCGTTAGAAACGGACGTTTGTATATGTTGCCCTGGAGCCGGCGCGTTGCAACAGCACCGGCTCCGACGCGGCGCGGCAACGACAGAAGCGTCCACAAACGCGAGGACGCCACATCGACACGAGCCAGGACTTCTTCAGCCCCGGCTTCACGTTATGAAAATAGCGCTCTATCCCTTCCGAGGACTAATCTCTCATCCAGAACGCACATCTCCGGATATGACCAAGACGTTCGACAAACACACATTCCCTCCACCAGCATAGCTGGGCCTGCGACGGTCACCGTTCTCAAACACCCCAAACAAAGAGCAGGGCAGCCTTGCAGGCGCTCCCTGTTCAGGCGACGGCGCGGCCGCACGCCGCACCTTGAGCATCATGGCGTACTCCTCCTTGCCGCCGCGCTTGAGCACGGCGCGGTAGGCGGCCGAGCGGAGGTCGGCGTGCAGCACGCCCCCGCCGTCCAGGTGCGCGCGGAACAGCCGCTCCGCCTCGGCCAGCACCACCTCGTCGTCGAACGACACCAGGTGGGCGATCACCAGCGGCCGCAGCAGGGTCGTCATGTGGCCTGGCGCACGGAGCCGGCAGAGGTCAGGTCAGCACGGTCGTCACGTGGCCTGGCGCACGGAGCCGGCAGAGGTCACGTCAGCACGGTCGTCACGTGGCCGGGCGTTGGGATGGTCGCGCTGGGTATGCAACAGCTATTCTGTGACATGGCAGGGTGGAGCCAGGCCAGCCCAGTCAGAGGAAGCCGCGTGACCTGGCGCGCGAGGTGACAGGTGAGGTGTACGCAGTTGTGGGGATGCAGGCGGGGTGTACACAGTTGTGAGGTGTACGCAGTTGTGGGGATGCGGGCGGGGTGTACACAGTTGTGAGGTTACGCAGTTGTGGGAATGCCGGCAAGGTGTACACGGTCGTGAGGTGTACGCAGTTGTGAGATGTGCGCAGTTGTGGGAATGCCGGCAAGGTGTACACGGTTGTGAGATGTGCGCAGTTGTGGGAATGCGGGCGGGGTGTACACAGTTGTGAGGTGTGCGCAGTTGTGGGGATGCGGGCGGGGTGTACACAGTTGTGAGGTGTGCGCAGTTGTGGGGAGGCGGGCGAGGTGTACACAGTTGAGGTGGACGCAGTCGGTCGGACCCATTACTGCCGACCTGCTGCAAAACATAAAGCAAACATCCAATTGCGGCCAGGACGACAGTGTCGCTGGATACGACTCCACGTGGCATTCCTGGCCCGGCGACCAGCCAGGGGGAGTGCAACCCAGGGCAGCTCCGACTCACTCTCTCCGTCCTGCTGGTGCCAGCCGAGCCGGGCGTGGATGGCCTGCAGCAGACGGCGGCAGTAGGCGTGGTACGGCTCCACCATGTCCGTGTGCTGCAGCAGCGGCCGCAGGCGGCGCAGGCAGCTCAGCAGGCACGACCACACGGTGAACTCGTCCTCGTCACGGAACGACGCCGCCAGCCGCAGGAAGTCCACCGTGCTCGAGTCGCCCGCCTGCACCTGAGCGACGGCACGGCACGGCACGGTCAGTGGCCGCCAGGGCACGGCTCGCGCTGCGCCGTGATCGGCAGCGCGCTGGACCGGTCAGCCGGCTCCTCAGTAAGTCACGTCCGGCTGCTCCGTCTACATCAGCGGGACGCAAATACACCAGTTCGCCGCAGTGCACGCAACTCCATCCTCCGCCGTCAGCCCAGGCGGCGGCGGCAGCGGCAGCCAGACGACGCCATACTCACCAGGGCGAACAGGTCGTCCACGAGGCCATTGCGGTCGAGCGGTGGCATAACCTTGCTGGCGATGGCCGATTTGAACTGCTCCAGCATCTCAGGCGGGTACTGCACCCTGCACGACGTGGGCGCGCGCGCCGGTTAGCGCGCGACTGAGGCCAGGCGCCTTCCCCGTCGGCACCGACACATTGGGGACGGCAGGTGAGGAAGAGGTCGACGCCAACTGGAGAGAAGGGAGGCGTGGCACGGGTGGCGATGGGGGGGGGGGGGGCATCGAGTTGGACCTACGCGAGCTTCCCGGATGTGATCGGTTCCTTTGCTATTCGGGAGTTCGTGTCCTTTTTAGCTGGGACATCACATAGGTTCGACATTTTCCCCGCAGCCCAGCCGTGACAGGTAGCGTTACACCATTCAGCAGAGCAGGGCCGGCACCTTACGCTCCGATGAGATCCAACAACTCGGTGCACATCGCGGTAGCGACACCATCTCGCTGCAGCGCGGCGGCACAAGGCTATCCTTCATCGTCCGAGTACGGCCAAACATGACATGCCGCGCTGATCATCTTGCAGACATGATAATCACATGTAGCGCATCCGTCATTGCGGTTTGGGAAATGCAGTGTGCCTGCGGGCCGCCACTAGTCGCTCCCCTGGCTCCGGCTGACCACGGGTCCCTTGTACTCGGCGATCAATACAAGGGACGAGTGTTACGTCACCGCAAAACAATGCCTAAAACAGAAATGAGGCCAATCCACTCTGCTTAAAAAATTCCCGCATGACTTTTACGGAGCAGAGTCACAACGTCTGTGGCATTGCCTGACGCTCACCTCAGCCTGAGCTTGTGAGGGGTCACGTGGGCGCAAGGAACGCTCACCTGTAGAAGCCAACCGAGCCGGGGTTGACCTTGACCCAGTCTGCGGGGGCGATATTCTCCAGCCGTACCTCCGTTGACTTCGTATCCAGAATCACCTTGTGGATGGTCTCGGATGGGGACTTGCTGGAGCTGAACGACAGCGGCACCATCCACATCTGGTCATCGGCTGCCGGTGGTACAAGCCAGGCCAGGTTAGGTTAGGTCGGGTCGGGTCGGGTCAGGTCAGGTCAGGTCAGGTCAGGTCAGGTCAGATCAGGTCATCACCACCTGCCAGATACTCGACGCCCGATTTGGCAAGCCTGACGCGCCGACATCCACCGCCGGCTATCAGCCGCAGCTGGTGGCCCATTACCATGCACTGAAGGCTACCGCGCGCGCGCACGCGGCACTCGGAACAGCGGCTGCTGACGTCACAGGTCGCATGCATACAGCGACTCCTGACGTCACTGGCCGCATGCAGACAGCTCAATCCAGCGACGGCCGCCTCGAGCACACAGAGCAGGCGCCATATCAGCGAAGATGAGCCGCCGCCGCCGAATATTTCGTGCCGTTCCGATCGGCGGGTAGGCCGCGGTGTCTACGCCGCACCTGAATACTCGCCTTCGGTGGCCGTGTCAGCACCGGCGGCTACACCGGGACCGCGGTGCCGCCGGCGCCTGTCCCACCACCCCGGCCCAGCCCCGCCCAGCACGGGGGCTCGCCCCTCCTCCGCCAGGGCGGCGTACCGTCCGGTTTGCCGTCGGCCAGGCAGCGGCGCTGTGAGGCGGTGATGACGCGCGCGTTGCCCTCCTGCCGCTCGGGCGACGGACACACGGGTAGCCCGTCTGCCGGGTCCAGGAGGACATGACGTCGCCCACCGGCTTGCCGCTGGCCTCCTCCAGCGCCGCCCATAGGTCCTCGGTGAACGTGTTGCCGAACTGGTGCCGGCGCAGGTACAGGTTCATGCCGCGCTTGAAGTCCTGCCGCGCGGCGGGAGGGCGGGCGGTGAGTGGAGGCCGACGCTGGGGTGAGTGCTGGAGGTCAATGTCCGGACTCAGACGGACCCAGCGACCAGCGCACCGCGGCGGTCTCCAGATGGGAGTGTCCACCAGCCGACGTCACGTGCACGCGGGCCTGACTGTGAAGAGAACGCGACGAGCCACACGGCGCACGCCTAGGCCAAGGTCACAAGTCATCGGCAAGTGGAGCACGCCATCCTGGCACGGTGGAAACTATCTACGACCCGCAGCAGATCCGCCGTGGCCCCCGCGGCGACGACACAGCCCGCTTGTCTCGGCCGGCGGCCGCATACCTCGTGGCCGAGGAACTCGTGCAGCATGCGGATGACGCAGGCGCCCTTGTCATAGCTGATGCCGTCGAAGATTTCATCCACCTCGGCCGGGTTACTGACCGGCACCTCGATCGGGTGGGACGTCCTGAGGAGCCAAACACCAGTGCCGGAGTCGGAACACAATAGCAGCTTCGGTATACGCATCACGCACCGCACCGGGGTTTTGCGTCGAGTTACGTAAGCGTTTCAGAAGGCACGGTCGGGCAAAGAGCTTAGACAGTTTTCATGAGGACGGCCCGAATTAGCTTAATCAGTTCATAAAATGCATACTCGGAACACCACCGCGCTCAGGCTAAAAGGCGATAGCTTGACGCGTTGTCGCTGAACCGCGGCCCACACCAGCATCCACTCCTTCTCAACAAAGGCGGGCGTTGATTCCACTCACCGACAAGATAAGAGCGCCAGCAAACCTACATGGACCACATCGCCACAAACCACGCCACAACAATAGGACTCTCGCACGGCGAGCACAGCCGGTCTGACACCCACACATCACAGTCCGCAGCCCCGGAGCCCCACAGCTTCACGGCGCAGCCCCACGGCGCCGCAGCCTCACAGCCCCACAGCCCGCGCAGCAGCACAGCCCCACAGCCTCACAGCCCCGCAGCCCCACAGCCTCACAGTCCCACAGTCCCACAGCCCCGCAGCCTCACAGCCCCACAGCCCCGCAGCCTCACAACCCCGCAGCCCCGCAGCCCCACAGCCTCACAGTCCCACAGCCCCACAGCCCCGCAGCCCCACAGCCCCACAGCGCCGCAGCACCACAGCGCCGCAGCCCACAGCGCCGCAGCCCCACAGCCTCACAGCCCCGCAGCCTCACAGCCCACAGCCTCACAGCCCCACAGCCTCACAGCCTCACAGCCTCACAGCCCCGCAGCCTCACAGCCCACAGCCCACAGCCTCACAGCCTCACAGCCTCACAGCCCCACAGCCTCACAGCCTCACAGTCCCACAGCAGCCTCACAGCCCCACAGCAGCCTCACAGCCCGCAGCTCACTCACAGCCTCACAGCCCACAGCCCCGCAGCCTCACAGCCTCACAGCCCCACAGCAGCCTCACAGCCCCGCAGCCTCACAGCCTCACAGCCTCACAGCCTCACAGCCTCACAGCCTCACAGCCTCACAGCCCACAGCAGCCTCACACCCCACAGCAGCCTCACAGTCCCACAGCAGCCTCACATCCCCACAGCAGCCTCACAGTCCCACAGCAGCCTCACATCCCACAGCAGCTCACAGTCCCACAGCAGCCTCACATCCCCACAGCAGCCTCACAGCCCCACAGCAGCCTCACAGCTCACAGCCACAGCCCCACAGCCCCACAGCCCCACAGCCCCACAGCCCGCAGCCTCACAGCCCCACAGCCTCACAGCCCCACAGCGACACTAACCTGAGCGAGTCGGTGGCCAGCGCGCCATGTAGCACTCGGAGACGAACTGCATCCAGATCTGTAGTGGGGGAA